GCAGCATCTGAAACATCCTTACTGTTAGGAAATTGTTCTCTAATCAAGAATACTCGCAGTCCATTCAAGTAAAAGGCAGATTAACTTCACGCTAATTACGTTTACTCTAAAGAAATTATTGCAAATATGTAATTTAGACATCAATTCACAATCTCACTAATGTCAAGTGAACATAGTTTTATAAATCCTACAGAAATTACATTCGCACATTTAGGAAACTATGGCCATCAAATAATAAGGTACATAGGTCTAAACTCTAAACAGTTACGCACAGCGTTAACACCATAGATTAATTTTTGAAATATCGTAGGATACATAGACATATTGTGTTTATGAGGATAACATAGCCACATAATACAGTCTGAACATTCAATCGTGATACTACATCTGTACTGCTTCATGTAAATGGAAATTCCAGGACAAATTCACCTCCATTATTGGTGGTCGAAAATATTAGAACATAGACATTAAGTATGCAGTGTCAGTAGAAATGGTATAACAGACAGTAGATTCACAGCAATAGTGCTAATAGATTACCTTTCAACATACGACAATTCCTGTCCGAACACACATACGATGGCAAAGGCATCTGCGCCAAACCTTCTGTTCCCATTGGGGCCATGTTAGCATTTTCAGGTGATTTCCATGTATTAATCATTCAGCTGTCATATAATCATAATATATTCTCAGTTTTTGTACATGAGGGACGCATCATCAACAGGATAAATAACATATACGAGGCGTGAGCATATTTACAATTATTCACTTACACAAGATATATATAAGAAAAGATAATGGCATGATACCTATAAGGTCATGTACACAGAGACACCATGTTGCGAGACTACTTGGTTCAAGACGTATTTTACTTACCACATCGTCTAATTTTTTTGATTACAGCTTGATTCCACAACGTATTTTTTGGTACAGGTATGGAATTTTCAGCATGTGATATCGGTAGCCCAAATTTTGCAGGCTGACCATAGGTATCAGCTGTGTGGCGGCAGGGGATCGAGCCCCGAACCATATGCATAGTCGGCAAGAGTCCTAACCACTGTGTCACCGACGCACACTCATGACTTTAGCAGGAGTAAACGACTTTGAGGTCGTCAGCATATAGGAATGGTTCACCTGAAGTGAAGCAGTTACAAATGCTGTTAAGGTAGACTGTAAATAAAAGTAGTCCTAGGACACTACCCTGCACAACCCTACTTGTGATCTGCCTAGGATGATACAATATAGATCCGACTTCGGTTATTTGTACGTTGTTGCTTAGAAATGATTTCATCCAGTTAAGTAAAGGATTGAGAATTCCACATGAGTACATCTTCTCAGAGAGAATACTGTGAGATACCATGTCAGTGAGGTACCAAAGGAGCTTCTACTTAGGTCATGTGCTGACTTATTCGAGTATAGCGATAAGACCGAAAGGCGGAAGTTTGTGAAGACAGTGGAGTTGCAGATAACCTTTACGAATTATGACTCTCAAAAGGTCAAGAGGTTTGCTGGGACTGTACAGTGAGTTTTCGGACCGCAACCCAGGGTCCTAGTATTTTGTGGGGAGGCTACTGGCCGTACATTGTAAGTTTGGTTATGGAATAAAGCACGTCCCGAAATGACTGTGTTTGTGTGCTCGGATATCAGAAGCACTGTGACAAGGCCAGAGCTGAGAATATCCTGAGCATGGACGCTGAGGACATCAAAATTTTCGACTAAGAGAAGGAGCCTTTGAAAACGCTAGGTAACGAGTCGATTATTCGTCACTTCACCAGGGTCGTGGGTCTAATTTTGAGCAAATACGGCAGATTCCTTATCGTTGTCTCGCACAACGAGCAGTTGGTTAATAAGGTTGACGAAGTGCAGTTCCAGAAGAAAAACGCTATCTGCCTAAATTTTACTGGTGAAGACGTGCAAATGGCAGCGGCAGAGTCAGCACAAAACGTAAACTTGCCGATCAACTTCCCAGTATCGCTTTTGAAGAAGAACTGGCAGAACGTTCGACGTCTGTATATTAAGAGCACAACATGGGAGCCCAACTTAATTTACTGAATGAAGTCTGAAAAATGGTCACCTTCCTGTTGTATTTCACAAACCGGGCATGAGTTCATGCCATTAATGACAATTATCTTGTGTCTATGGGACCGTTCAGTGATGTTCTAATTAGTTGTCTAGTAGTGTCTACGTTTTTTGTAAAAATAGAGAGGAAGTCTGTCTTTGCTGTAGCTGCTGCATGTCTTCAAAGACTTGTCGGTTGGGTAAAAAAAATGTGTCTGACTTGTTGATCTTCTTGAGTCACGATATGGTGTCAGACAGTATAAATTAGGTGATGCTGGGGATTGCTACAGAGCCTTTGAGGTGTGGCGAGTAGTGTTTGATCTTTAAAATCTCTGCTTGTAGTCTCTAGTCAGATCTTCACATATTTACACTATGGCATTAGTACTCATTTCGGAATTTTGAGGATTATCATGCTCTGGTGATGGCCGCGCTAGTCATCATATAAAAGCATATGGCTGTAGGGTTAGTGACATGGTGCAAAATAGTAGTATACGGAGTTGTTTGAAAACATCCTCACGACACGTACCAGAAATCACTCTCTCTAGATATTACTTTCGCTTCGGTACAGGGAAATGGGATGGGACGAGACGGAGTAGGAATACTGCTTACAGTCAGTCTAATTTCGCTTATGATTGATTATCCAAGATAGTGTTTTGGTAGGTGTGAGAGATATTTCAAATGGGTCGCTAGACACTTTAACACAAAGTCACTAATCCAAATATATAAGTAAGCACGTGGCTTGCACCAAATACCGGTGCGCAGTGTATACCTAGTAGAGTCTTACCGTGACATATGATTGCTGTGAGACTCCTAATGGATTTCTTCCTTATGTGTAATCATTACCGATTATCTACCGCTCGGTTCATGTTATGAAGTAAACAGTCCGAGTGCCATTGGGAGTCGCAGATTTCGTGTAAACTATCACCCAGTATGCTTAGACTTGTGGGTATTCACAACGGTGCATGCAGGACAAACAGCTGTCAACATACGCTATATTAACAATACGATGACCATAATATCGATCAGGGGGAGATCGGCACTCGGGTTGGCTATAGTGTAAGAGGTATTTCATCACTTTAATAAGTCAGTAGACAATTTCTTGAATGATGTCCATCGTGACGCATTTGTGTGAGAAGTACTCTTAACTGAAGGAAACTGTGGAACAGATCACTTTCTTCAGACATGCTTCCAGTCACATATGCTTAATGGTACTCATGGGACTACACATCTTTGAATGTTACCAGATGAGTTACTCATGTCGTATGATCAAAGGAGGCAGAGAATCAAATCACAGTGGAACTTAAGGTGGGGATTTTGACATCTGCTAGCTTATTTTTGAGTGATAATGCTGAAAATATTTAGCTGGTTGGAGGTATGTCAAGTTGTATACTCTTCGTAAATATTTGTGCATAAATCCCGGCGGATCATAACGATTTTGGCAATAGTAGAATCAATACCGAGGTTTTTAATCTAGATGCAGATTTTTTAAAATGACGTTATACTGTATAGAGAACTGAATCCTAGACGAAAATTTTCACTAAATGCCGATCGTCCATACTGCTTCATTCCATGAAACTGCACATAGTGTGAGATAAAATATAGAAAGGAATCTACAATTTGTTATGAAAGGGTTACTATATGAAGCATAATATGACTTTTGGATGTGAGTGCTTTCTCCCCATTGAGAACGATTCTGGGTCATGTTATCAACAGTCTCCATTATTAGTTCTTAGAGCCTCAAACACACCAGGAAGGCCTTCTGCACCTCCCTACGTTGCTCAAATCAACAGTCAATGATGTAAGAGATTGATGCTCGGTTTGTATTTGACAACTCTGGACTATTGCTTACCTAATCTCATGTCAGTTATCAATTCTGGATACGGATGCCTATGGTTCCGCATGTGTAACACGTGTCCTAGCCGTCTCAATTGATGCAACCTCACAACCTCATCAACTAACTTTCCTTATTTATCTAACTGTGGAAGGAGCAGAAAATTTCTAACGAACCTCTCCAATCATAGTCTATAGCTATATGTGGTCTACTGTTGACTTATTGCTGGAGGTTGCCGAGTGAGACAATGTCTTTTGTGTTTGAACTTAATCTTGACAAGGAACAGATGATTATCTGAACACAAGTATCACTTATGCCGGTTCATCGGCATAGTACTCCACAAGCGTCATACTTTCCTGACTAGCACGGCTTTCCTAATTGAGCATTGACATCAGATAGAATTACTGTACTTTAGTGCTTTGGCAGCAAACTACACAGCTGCTAAAGATACCCACCCCTTACTTATTCTGAATGCATTTGGTTGTGGCGTTAGCGAGGATTATTAAGATTTAGACTTGAAAATAAATACCTGGGGTCCGTGGTGTTAAACATGTAACTATGCAGTTTTATGGAAGTGATCACTGGTTGATATCACTCCACTAAAAGTTGAAGATCCGCAAAGTGGAGTTTTCGTGGCACTGTGGTGTTCGAGAGCATACGCTCATGACCTTAAACCAGATGGAATCGATAATACGTTTAGGGATAACAGTTACCAAACCCTAATTTGCATATCCATATAATTAATTATTCTAGGGGGAACAGTGAAAACTACCAGGCCTTTAATTATATTATTTTTTCACTTTCTAAAGTGAAGTGAATTTTGTGGTGTACTCTCCAAATCAGAAATAAAGTATATTTAAGCGTCTAAGCTTATACGAAACTACATATCTCCAAAAATCTCCAGTTTTGTAGATGCTTCGTAAAAATAATTTCGTAAAAAATACCTAAAAATAACTAATGTAAATACTTACATAACTCCATGGATCTGCATAGTTTCACTTCAATGCTTATTGCAACCGGCTGCAACATTACAGTTATGTATGTGATTTCCCTATCACCACTTTTATTGCATCTGAGAGGAAAAATCATAGTAGCGCATGCAAAGAAGACTAGATACGTTTTATGAAGTTTATTTGCATGTGAAAATGAAAGTTGTGAAAATATTAAAAACCAGTTTATTGTTCAGAGTCATTTTTCTGGTTTCAGATGTAAAAGCTTGTATAGAGAGTTCATTTCTTCATGTATTTTCTTGTCTAACACAGGCAGTTCACCTGGTTCGGTATATAGAGCCTTAGAGATTTGTTGGCTAACTGCTGATGCTTTCATGAAAAAATCAGATGTGCAACTGACGTGAACCTATTGAGCATTTTAAAAGAAGAAATAAGTGAATGTAATGAAATTTATGCAAACCCTAGTACTGAAACAAAATTTCCGATGCTGTTATGCGATGTATATAATATAAAAATAGCAGATATAAGGAGATGAGTGCTGTTTTTTGCGCTAAATCGTAGGCCATACTAATCATGCACTGAAGTAATTTGGAAATCAGTTAACCCGAACATGTTTTGTATGCACTCACTGAATGGTCATACTGCTTACTCCTACAGGTTGAAACAGATAAAGCCCACCAATTGCGAACCAAGTGCTAAGGCTAACAAAGAGGTGGTATAGGGCATAAGTGTTAATGATGTAAACTGACTTTTCAACGCAGAACTTTGAACAGAAGTGCAGCAGTTAGTGCGGTTCGTACAATGAAATATGGGTATTGCTTGACGTATCGGTTTCTTGTAGGCGAAGTGGAATTACTTAACACGGTCATTAGGTGTATTTTAATTCGACTGCAATGTCTAACAGAGAAAACAACATAATTCCGTAAGTCGGATAGGAAGTTGCATGCTTAAATTTGTGAAAATGATGTATTCATTGTCACGGTATAAAAACATGTTATCCAATGCACTCATTATAGTGGTACAATATCTTAAGTTTCCTGAGATCTTGTTGTGTATGACAACGAAGTGTTAAAGAAATGCCTTGCTCACATAATGCATTCTTAAAGTTATTTTTTGCAACCGAAATTTTATTTATTCAGCATTCATCTCCATGACTAATTCTTCGAGTCATACACAACCCCATCTATCGAGTAGAGAAAATAGTCACTTAAGCGTATTTTACCTTTACAAAGTAAAAATAAATCACATAGTGGTAGTGGAGGAGACAATCATAACCTAAGAACATTATTTCAGGCTTGAAGATGGTGGATGCACCTTATTGATCAGCAGAAAACATGTATAGCGTGTGATGTGAAGTCCACTTCCTCATACTTTAGGTTTGTGATAATTATTGAGGAGACATGAGGCATTTTTGCATTAATAGTTCTGTCATCAACGAAGAGTGGTATTGCGCTCAGAAATGTTATGTTGTGGTTAACGATCAAACCCAAGACTATAACTTTACGAAATGTTGCAGGCCTGTTAGCAGGCATATACATATAAAACATCAACAAATTAAGAATAACTAGAAGAAATGGATGATATTTTGGAAACACGAAACAAACTCGCTTCTGTGTATGTGACTCACTTTGTATCATCCTACGGAAACAGTCGACGAAAATTTTTAAAGTAGTAATCACAGAACTGTTCTATCTGTGAAACAGTTTGTTAAAAATAATTATACTACATGTCTTAGTTTACGGGTGAAAATTATGTGACTTTTGAAAGTTATTTGGTGTTCTTCGAAATGCGAAATTAGTGCTGAAAATGTCATTATGTCCGGTGGTGCTCTCACAATCACTTATGGGAGCCTGAAGAACACCAAACAACTGTCATCCTCATCATGAGCCACAAATCTCCATAAGAGATAACAACGCTTACATGGAACGAAGACGACAGAAACACTTCTAATATTGAGGTTAAATCCATTAAATTCGCGCTTATTGCAGTTTCAGTAATCTGTAAACGACTTGTTAGTGAGTCAACTGTTTGTGAAATCTGAAAGCATTAGAAGAAAAATTAGGTTACCTTTCTGTATTTCGTTGACATTTCCCCTATGTGTTCTACGGGCTCAAACCTCCGGATTTTCCGATATTTCCGATTTATTTCTTTTACAATATCTTCTCTTTCCTGGAAAATATCATTTATAGGTGACAGTATAGAGCAAATTCTTGGAAACGTAACACTTGAGAAACGAGTACTTACTTTCTCAAAGGCTCAAGAAGCAACTGTTGATTAGTGTTCTTCTACATTGCGAATAAAAGTTTCAACACACAAATACGTACATTACGTTCGTATATATTGCCTAGTGAAAGCATCAATTCATTTGTTGAAGACAGGCTTTTGCTATCACCATTACAATATTGAAGCATTTGGGAAGCTCTCGAAACAACCTCTTCTTCCTTTTTGAATTCTATACAATGCATACAAGTTTAAGAGCACTACACAAACATAACTGTACTCACCATCAAACATTTTGAGCCAATCATTGAGCACAAGAACCAACTTTCTCAGCAGATCTTGAAGTCTTAAGTAAACAAGTATAACATAATCGGATCTAACCTACATATCACAATTGGGCATACTTTACTAAAGGGCGACTTACTGAAAAAGGAAACAAAGAGGAGACATCTTTTATGGAGAAATGATAAGGTGAAACATCAAAAATTTCCGTACTATTTAGCCCACTTCTTTGTATTCAACAAATAGTGAAAAATGTTGCAAGCATACCAAAAGTAGACTACGAATTTTGTTCAGTGTTTGGTACATGCTATAATTATTTCAATGCGCAAAACATGGCAATGAGAAACCGCGCCAGAAAGAATGAGCTAATTAATCTCATATGCTGTTCCCCAGAAGGATTTCAGTAAAGTGAAATGCGACAGAAAACTCATTTATTATAAAATCGTTAACGAGTATGTAATGTAAACATACTAGGTAACCAATGAGATACCATTCAAGTGAGAAATCCTAGCTATGTACAATAAGGTAAAAACCCACCATGACTGACCTGGTTAGTAGTTGAGTATTCTCACAGAAGGGAAATACTCCAAAAGTATGAGAAAATATGGTAGAAATAAAATATAGGATTATCTTCTGACAGGAAAGAAGACATTCACTCAAGGGCATCAAAATACTACATAGGTGCTCCTAGTATGTATCATTCTTAACAACAACATCAAAAGTATTGCTTTGCGTCAATATAAAGCACTGGGACGAAACGCAGAATCAGCAAACAGTCTCAAGACCAGTAGTCAGCATTAAGTTAGATCTGAGGTACGTCACAGTATTTGCTGATGAGGCACTGCTGAATACGTGGTAACTGAATTGACAGTCAATCTGGTCTATCGCTGTGAAGTGATGCTATCTTTAACTACATTATTCTACACACAACCAACATTCCGTTATGACTACTACACTGCTTACTGATATAAGTATAAAACTTGAGCACTGTGGTAGAGTATAGCACCATTGTAGATTTATCAAAATAAAATCTTATCTAAAATGAAGTTACACTGCTTCAGCATAGATCCGTAGGAATCACAGTTTCTCCAGACAAATATAGATCCTGGAGATTTGAAAGCACAACTGGTACATAGCTTTGAATCTGACACTAAATGCCGATATTTAACGATCGTTTAGGTTTTACTTGAGTAAAACTTATCAGTATAAACTGGGCCAGATGATACTGGGGCAATAGGACCACATCTTTACAAAAACTTCGATCTTTATAATAAGTGCCAAAAGCAGTCTGAATTCCATGGGAAGGTTGATAATACTGACGGATAAGAATCAGAGACAGACAGCAGCATACCAGAAGTTCATGATGTGACTAGTCATTTCAGGACATTTCACCATTAATCTAATTCGTTTGACATGAATTACTTCACGTCAATACTAATTAACGTCAGAAAAAACAAATATTCTCCGGTATACAGTCCATTATGTACGTCTTGTTCAGACTTCACAAGTAGACACATACAAACACAGAAATTCTCGCCTATAATTAATCATAGTGCAGGACCTATTCGTCTGACAATGGATAACGGCAACTCTAAAGAATAGCAGCCAAAACCGAAACTACCTAGCGAACGGACAAATCACCTTGACAAGGACAACTTCGACCAATCAGCAGGCTAAAAAAATCAGCGCATAATTGTAATAAGTCGTTCATGCATATCTGTAATGAAATAAAAAAAAGATACCACTAAGTAAATTTCTTATTTCCTCTTTTTCAGAAAGAAAGGCTGGCCTGGCTGTACTAGAGCAAGAAGAGGACCGGTTGTCAAAGCTTGTTATAAATGACGATATTTAGCTTGTACCCGGACAATTTAAACCTTGCGTGGTGGAATAAATGACCTATTCTTCCACATCTTCATCTTCTTTCATTAGGTGTGTCTGTTGCTTCTGAGTGTTACATATGGAATGCAATGTTAAAAAACAGTTATAAAGGACAACGATCTCGTATGTTGCAAAACACCTCCCAATTACTCACAGGAGTCTTGACTCTCATAATAATAATAATATATATTTCTTCCTGTTTATGCAGGAACATACTAATTGTACAGGCATGTTAAACGAAGTCCTGTAGATAAACTCATCGAGATAACTGTGTATCAATGCATTCCTTGATCCATTCACAGATCTGATGCGTTTTCTAGGTGACTTCAGAAACTTTCAATGGAATTAGTGTGAGTTCCATCAAAAGGATTAAGGAAACCAATTCTATGGTTGACAACTTGATGAATATAGCCTAGATTCGATAACCGACTGTAACTACTCCATTCATCTGTATGAATAGTCGTCCCAGGAAGCACTAAGCGTTGGATAATAGGCAATAATACATTGCACTGCGATTACGGTTCGCCTCAATATATCCTTCCTGGAGGCTGGTGTCATATATCCCCAATACCTATTACTGATCCACACTCAATCCCCCTCGATTGCATTTTCTTATCAAAAGCACCTAAGGAATCTGTAAATTATAAACGAACGACATAGGTCCTCGAACAGTGCGTTCTCTAAACAGTAATCAAACAAGATCCAGAGCGAATTCGCAACGCAAGAGGTGTAGAGCATCCATAATTACCTCTGGAAACACCAGAGTCACCTGATTCCTTGCTCATGATCACTTGTGCGTTCAAAGGTCGTTTCGGTTTGGGCTGCTATTATTTAGAGTTGCTCTGGATAACTTCAAAACGTTCTATGGAGCCATATTCCAGGACAGCAAAGTCATGCTTCAAAAATTCAAAACGAAATCAGGGTGAAAAGGGCAATGGATAGCGGCACACACGGGTTATGCAGAGGCTGAACACTTCAAGGTCACTTATGCATATTGTGATTCGCAGATTTTCTTTTTCGTAAACGTTGCGGCTAATACGTAGTACACCTTACTCAGGCGGGCCTTGGAAAGATTGATAAAAATCACAAAAACATTACAGTTTTTGGCTTAAGGAGGCAAGTTAACATGGCAACTCTAAACTATAGCAACCAAAACCGAAACTACCTAGCGAATGGACAAATGATCTTGAGCAACCAATCAGGTGACTCTGCTCTACGCCTTTGGCGTTGCACATTCGCTCCAGATCTAGTTTTCGATTACTGTTTGGAGGACGGACTGATTAGAAGGTTGAAAATTTGGCGAAGTACAAGAATAGCGTCCCCGGTCTGCGAACGCTCGAATGACTCTGAACGCTTGCTAGTCATTGGTTAAGGAAACCTTCCATTATCCTAGAGCGAAAATGACCTCTGTTCATCTGCTCAGATGCAAATTTCAGCCAGGGCACGTATTTCAATACTGCCTAGATAATTGATTATTAGGACTTACTCAGATGTGTAGTTGTGGTGCTTCTATGAACCTGCAGCCGTATACCCAGGTCATTGATGGATATATATTTAGATGTACACAGTGTAGGAAGCGAACAAGTGTCCGCACTGGTAAGCGACACTCACAGTTGATTGCCCCTTAGAAGTTTTCTTTGAAAAATCGAAACTTTCGTTTACCAGTATCCTGTTTCTCTGCCATTACTGGATTCTAAAGACAGGGGTGAGATCAGCTGCTCCTCAGACAGATAATACGTTTACGTCATCTGTGCAATGGTTCCAATTTCGCCGAGATTTTGCATCATGGAAAATGAACAGTATTACACAAGTGTTGGGCGAAGTCGGTGTCGTGGTTAATATCGATGAAACGGTGCTTATAAAGAAGAAAAACAATCGAGGACGTGCTGGGGCTAATAACGTTTGAGTTCTGGGCATTAGCGACACCCAGATTCGCAAAGGATTCATTGAACTTATTCCGGATAGGAGTGCTCAAACACTCCTCCCTATTATTAAAAGGCTGGTCTTGCCAGGCACAACCAATCATGCGGATGAATGGGCAGGATATAATCGGCTGTTGGCTTTGGGATTTGTGCATCACCGAGCAAACCATTAGATGACTTCTTCGCCCCCGGAACTGGTAACCACATAAATTCAATCGAAAGTTTCTGGGGAAGACTAAAAAATAGAATCAGAGCCATAAACGCCTCTCAAAACCAAGTTATTTTTAATCACCTGCACGCATATATTTAAAGAAATTGGTGTAATTTAAAAACTGAAACGCCTCAATATAATTGGAAGATCCTTTATCCCATATTAGACCAAAAATACCCTGTATAATGACTATTTCATGCTCTTTTGTGTAAACATATGTATAATTTTAGGTGAAAATCCTCCTATTTTCTCATTGGTCGGCTGAAGGTCACTCGTGCGTTCGCATCCTTTGGGACGCTATTGTAGAACTTTGCCGAAAATTCGTCATCGTGGAGGTGTAGTGCGTATGAAAAGATACACAACTGCATTGATGCGTTTGTGTACGGGTGCAGTGAGTGCCGAAGCAGAGAAATCATTTCGAAAGGGAGTGTCGTTCCTTTATAGTTTACAGATTCCTTAGGCACTGTCAATGTAGTTGAAGATTTAACGATCAATTCGTGGTTGTTTGGTCAAACCCAACTCCTCCATAGTTTCCGGGGATCATCAATCCGTCAGTCATCGTCTCATCGTTCGCTGTTCAGTGGAAGATTAAAAACTATCAGAAGTATTTTCGTGATTTATTGTTATAACATTCATTCTTAGACCTAGTGTAATAACCTTATTATTGGTTACATTTTGGTGTAAGAATAAAGAATTATCAAGTCGCCGATCAGCGTTCTGGTTTAGGCGTCGGTTAATACTAAGCGTCTCTGAAAATCGTCGAGGGATAGCGTGAGGCCCAGCGAAGCAAGAGCTAGGCATTGACTGTATATGAAAATTGACTGACGGTTTCTGATAGTGTGTGCATAGTATCCGTTCCTCATTTCCGGTGCCTAAGAGTCTACTTTGAACGAGAGTTATTTGGAAAATTTCTGGAATTTTGGTCAAGTTCAATAATTCCTGGGTCAAAGAAGGGACGAGGCGTCTTGGACGCAAGAAGGAAAGTAAGTAATGTTGAGTTGTCTGTTACATGTAACCATGTATTTGATGTTAAGTATGATATGGTTTATGTCAGTGTTTCGCCGTCTAGGAATAGAAAGAATATTAGGCTTCCTAAATACAAACCTCGGTGTTTCGACGGAAACCCAGCTGAATATTTACAGTTTGTAAAGGAGTTTGAAATCATGTTGGGTGGTCTTGCAACAAATGATGAAATGAAGTTGCTATATTTGATGAGATACTGCACTGGAGTCGCTTCAAGAGCTATACAGTGCTGTAAGTTCATGCCCCCTAACGAAGGATACTCTGAGGCTGTGAGTATACTGCTTCAAAGATCCGGAAGATCCTCGATGATTGTAAGGAACGTATTCGAGGCTGTTAAAGGTAATGGTAGTCAATTACAAGATGACTCCAAGGCACTCTCTGAGTTTTTGGATAAATTGCTGATTTACAAGAATACGTTGATTTCGATGAATTGCATGAGTGATCTGAACTCAAGTTCCGTCCTAGAGGTAATAGCGAGACGCCTACCTACTCGACTGGGGGCAGGGTAAGATCTCGTATAGAGGATGAAGGTACTGAGTCAAAGTTTGATGATATTCTGAAACTGGTAAAAGACAGTGTCAACCAGGCGATGGGCAAATTCGCCTGCATTTTGCATTCTAAGGTAGAACCTAAAGAACCAGTGAATATAAGGAAGGCATTTTAGCTGATCAGTAGATATGGTGGGGGTCACTAAGGTGAATCGCCCCATTCTGCAGGAACAGCAGTATACAAATTAAAGGCTCGAGATATTTCTGATTTTTATGAGGGCTTAGATCTTTATCTTGAAAAAGATAATAATGAACGCCTTGACAGATCATGCTTCTACCTCTAAATATATACTATTCGCCCAGCCTATTGTTGAGATGCGACCATGTGGGATGTGCACAGTTTTATGGGGCATCTTATAAACTAACTTGCTGTCCATTGACTGATCTTTAAATACCACTTCACAATGTCTTATCTCATTTATTTTCTAATAACGTCTTTACTTGATCCTCATTTTACTCCATTAAACCTAACATTTTACAGCTCTTTATGACTTATTATATTCCTACTCTCTGAAGGGTACGGTTGTACATTAAATGCACAAAAAGGTATAAAACAAAAACAACTGGCACAACTGAGGATAAATGTATTAAAACCAAAAGTGGACATCATGATAGTACGAGATATACGTGCAACATTATACATTGCAAATGAACGTTGTCAGCCTAGGGAGTTTTCTTTTTTTAATGCATTTATTAATGATACTTGCACTTACCTATTTCATTACAATTTAATGATTCACCTCAGCACTTTAATTTTTCTAAAACAGACTTCAATCCCTTGTAAAGGTTGTACTTACCTCAATATTGGTTGGTTATCGTATGCCGACAACCACGGGATGAAAACGAAACGAAGTCGATTTTCCCGCTCAACTTGGAGGACAATTGTACAATTCAATAACTATACAGCCTAGTTCAGACAATGAGTGTATTTATATATGAGTGGGGATATAGGCCGACACCAGGTGTTATCGCGCAATGCCATCGGTTACCGCGCTCACATCAACAGACGTTATAATCACCTATTTTTGTTGGAAATAGATTATATTTGACTAGTTTTAGACTTCTGTAGCCGGATGGCAG